GAGTCCTGCAGGTTTATCTTCCCGTTGCCGAAAACCCATTGCGACATACTCTCGTGTTTTGCATCTTCCCGTCACCGAAAACCCCCTGCGACATACTCTCGTGCCCTGCAGGTTCGAGGTTTTGTTTTGTTTTGTTTTGTTTTGTTTTGTTTTGTAACTGCAACTCAAGCAAGTTTTCCTGCCTGCACTTTGACCATCTTCGGTGTAAGTAAAATAATCTTTAATCAACTGCTAAGCGTCCGTGCCTAATTCTAGCCCGCCAGCCTGCATTCCCTGACCCGGCGTGTCTGGGCTGCTGGCCACAGCCCACTGCGCACAGGCCCCCGAGGGCCTTGGACCACTCCCGGCCCGCACAAAGTCCAGCACTTGTCTCCTGTTATAACACATGTATGAATCTACCCTTCCTTACTTGAAGCCCAATTCAGAAGAGGAAACTTTGTAGTAGCTTGATTCCCATTTCCCTTATCAAGTGCAGTCATCTCTCTGTCTGAAGCCCTTTCTCTTTCTCTTGGTGCTTGCTGGTTATTTCTGTAAGCTAGTGGAATTCAAAGTGATGCCCCTGGGCAGCTTTCCCTTGGTGGAGGGTGGGGGCAGGAAGTAACGTGGGTTAGGAGACGAGGCTCATGGAGCACCTGTGGACAGCATCCATCCATGCAGAGAGGGCTGCACTCAGGGAAGAGACGTTTCATCCATGGTGAGTAGCTCCACTTTGCACACAATACATAGAGAATTCTAACTATTTAGTATACGTCTAATGGACTGTTGCGTACTGCAGAATTGCATGGAGGGTGAGGGTGAAAACCATGGGTAATGAAGCTCCCCAAAGTGCAGTAATTTTCCAGTGAGGTATTGGGTTATTGCTGCTATGGAACAGTCAGACCATGCATTTTTAGTACAGTACTACCATGACTAAGGTATTGACCTTCCCCTAGAAAGTTCTGCTTTCCTCATGTTCTAAGTGTTTTATAATCAAAAACAACAGTGTTCAATTCTTTAAAACTTTAAAATTCCATGAATTCACCACATGTACTTCCAAGCAAAATGATATCTTGCGTGCATAAAACTTGTCGTTTGAAACGCCCACGTACTTCAAGTGAATGCAGTAGCTGTTTAAAAAAGAAAAAAGTGTTGTCTAGTGGTTAGAACAGGGGACTGTGAGCTAGGACTCTTGGGTTCTGTTACTAGCTCTGTTGCTAGCTCACTATGTGACTTTTAGTGAGTTACTTAAATAAATGTTTGTGGCAAGTGTCTACCAATTTTTTTTGAGTCCTGCCATTTGTATGTGGTCAATATAAGACATCTCAAGGGTCTCATGCTGGGAACTCAGAAATGGAGGCACGTAAAATGAGTAGACCTTTCTGAAAATGTTGGTCAGATCTATGTCTGTTTATGTGTAGAATCAGAATAATCATGGGTTCCATAATGCAGTGAGCTATTGTGCATATAAAGTACTTTGCAATCTTTGCCTCAGAGACTTTGTATGTGCATTAATTTACATACAGTATTATTATTGAATGATAATATCAATTTCGTGTTGATACCAACTGAGTATTATGTGTTGGATTGTTTGACACTAAGTTATCTTTATGGTTATTTTTAAATTACCTTCTGTTTAGCTTTTTCCTTTTGGACATAAAGATACTTGCTCTTTGCAAATGTATTTAGTCACTGTGCATCATAAGACTGCAACATAATTCTGCAATCTGCTGTTTGGAGTGGATGCTGTGGGTTTGTCACTTTGGCAGGGTATTTCAAAATGGATCCACTTCAGTAGCTTCAGCTATTTGATGTACAGCATATTTCTTGCCTGTCAGAAGCACAGCAACAAGGCAGTTGCGCTCTCTGTCTCACCCACTTGTTTTGTATTCTTGTTTTCCCTCTCTACCACAGAACAGCAAAAAAGGCTTAGTAGCCTGGCAGGTATGAAGCACAAGATCTGCCACTCCCCAACTGCTGCCTCTGCTGGAGCGAAGCAGCTACTTTGTTAGCTTGCAAAGTACCTTTAGCAAACACACTTCTTGGTAACTGCAAGGCATTGAGTTGAATTTCTTAAAACAAATGTATCCCCCAGCTCAACAACTTCTGCTGAGCCTTTGGTCCTCTCAGAACAATGGAAATGCAGTCACAAGCAGGCCCCCTCACTAATTTAGTCACCCCCAAGTATTCCAAAACCACTAATCAAATTACGAAGTTGATTGATTTTTAAAAAGAAATATCAAAAGTATTATATTTTTTAAAAGCTTTTCAGTTCCTTACTTGCCTTCTGCTTTTTGAGCCTTTAAAAATACTTGAGACATGTTTTCCCCTTAAAAAATGAAGAAAACTACAGTCACATGTAATCGCAGGACTCTGGGAGCTGAGGCTTTGGTAAGAAAGCTGAGTATAATACAACTCACAATAAAGCTGAATGCACGTGCCATTTCCCCTATGTGGTCTCTCAGCAGGGCTGCAAATTCCTGTTCTATTTCTCCTGCTGGTTCTGGCATAGACTGTTCGGTAGTAGGCTATGGGAACAGAGAGAGTAGTAGATTACTTATTCAACTCCAAGTGTTAATCACTGAAACAAGGGAGAAAAGAGGAAAAGAGAGAGTGCAAGCGAGTTAGCAGTCAGCATGCAGCACCCCAGTATATAAATTTGGGATTGTGGGTCTTTCTTGCTCTTGGTCTTCTTCTTAAGGGGCCTGATCAAACAGAAAGCCCTTAAAACCCTGCTGTAGTTGGGAGGCACTTGCCAACACTCAGGGGCAGACTTGCAGCTCTAATGTCTGTGGCAAGGTTACACTGGCTGCTTAGGTGACATCAAGCAGTGTAATAGTTCACATGCATGTCTCTTTTTTCCCCAGTAGAGTTGGTATCTGTATAGACACCTTGCAGGCTCTGATTTTATTTCTTGGCTGCAAGTTCAGACACAGATTTCCTCTCAGTTCACTTTCTCCAGGTGTTACCCTTCATGGTGAGGAACATTTTTAATTTCTCAACTGGAAACGTTTGGAAATCCTCCCAGCTTTGTGGACTATTTCTGTTTACCTTTTATTCCAGCCCAAATGATCCCTAATCTGGAATAATGGAGAGCAGCCTGGCACAACAATAATGTGGAGCTGGCTGGCTGTCTCCTCTGCCTCTTGTTTTTTTACATCCTCTTGATCACATGAGTAGAACTCTGTGGCTGGATGAACACATGCTGTTTCTATCAAAAGTGGATGGCTCAAAAGATATATGGAACATTTTGTCTGGTGCCCAGATACCCTGCAGTTTGTGTGCTCCAAATATCTTGGAGCCATATTCTCCCTTGTCATGCACTTTCTGCAACCCTACAGAAGTGTTGTTGTATGGTAGATAAATCAAGGTGGAATTTGTTTCAGGCTGATTGATCTTCTGGGTTGTTTTGATTTTAGATGGCTGCAGGAGGCAAGTAGTGAAAGGAGATGATTGCTTTAGTTTGCCTCCTAGGTAAAATGCCCTGTCCACAAAAGCACATTGTATTTGGCACTAGATGGATTTCCTTGTTGGCAGTTGTAGCAAAATGGCCATAGCTGAATGAGCCATGGAAACTGAACTGCCCTCAGACTTTGCCTGGGGAGACAGTTGCAAGTTGGCACAGAGTTAGACCTTGCTTTAGTGTTCCCAGGCCATCCCTAGTCTGTGGGACAAAAGCCTTTTCTCTCTAAGGTTGTCATTCCAGAACCTTTCACAAATGCTAAATACACTGCAACAAAAACAAACCAAAACACCTGGTTTGTTTGGTTAGTTGGTTGATATGTTCCATATTGTCTCTAGTGGGTTATGGAATAGAGAAAATTCCACACAACTTACTGATTCGTTTGATGCACTGGCTGGGGGAGTAGTTAGTTGATTGCACGATTTCACAATGATTACACACTTAATTCATACAACACAATTTTATTTTTAAATTCTTTGCTACACATATAACACTGCTTAGCTTTAAGAAATACCACAAACATTAAGAACACGATAACTACATATATCAGAAACAATGCTCCAAATGCACTTCCTTAAAACAATTACAATTACAATTCAAAGTTAAATTTGAATCAGTACTATTATTTTTCATAATATACTTACAATCCTAGAATTCCGAGAAGCCAAACACCTAAATATGGTTTCATTCCTCAGTAGTACAATTTAATGGGTTGGCCTCAGTAATACAGTTCAAGGGGCTCGCCTCAGCAATACAGTTCAATGGGCTGGCCTCAATACTGATAGGACTAAGTCCCCTTCCTTCAGTCCCTTTTGGGTGCTCTGCAGCTTCAGCGTGAACTAAGAGATTCGTGTTCACGGAGAGGGTGGTTCAGGTGATCAGTCTGATCGGCCTACACTTGCGATTCTTCCTTCGTTGTTCTACAAGTGAGGTTACCTCCAAATTGGGACAGTAGGTTGCAGTTTTTATTGAGTGAGTTGCCGTCTTGAGCCCCTCCTACCCAAACCTGTCACTACTCCCAAATTTGGACTCGGATCTTACTTAACAGATTCTTTTGCTTGGTAATTAGTTTCTTTTGTTGATCATTTAATTACTTTGAGGAATTTCCTTTCTTTCCAATCTTTTAAAAGGCTCCTAGAGTTTGATTTTTCAGAATGTGGGATATTTGCTTAAGGGTCATTTTTAGGTTAACTTTGTTAAAGGCCTCTAAAGATAAAATTCAAGAGTTAAGACTTTGAGGAAAGTCAGTACCTTCTGCACGTAGACCAAAACAATGGCCTAGATAAGAAGATAAATCTTGTCTTCTTCCTAAACTGGCTAATGGGCAACTATTACAAACATTCAAATATTACATTCAATATGACACACATAGGTTCCCATTTATTATCCTAGCATGGTGAATTCACAAACCTTTGACTGCACCAATAACATGTAATAGCTTTAGGTGGGATTGGTCTTGTGCAAACCAGCTCAAAATCATGTCTCAGCCCTCAGAGTTAATACTTTATCTCATTAGAAGAATGGCAATAGGAGACCATCAGTCTGGCTAGGTCAATTTGTCTGTTTCTTTAAGGTATTCTGAAGACCCCCCAGTCATTCCTACATCTTTAGGTGGGCTGTGCGGACTAAATTAGTCAGTACAGGTTAAGACGGCTTGGAGAGTTGGCCTTTCCTGAGTCCTGGAGGTTGTGTGTTTAAACCATGAACCATGTCATTTAACTGTTAATGACAAGAATTACTTAATTTTAGAATTAATTAAAAAAATTATTTTAATTCTTGATAATCTCAACTTTCATAACAGTAACACTATAACAGTTAGAAGATCATTCAAGCCTTTTAATAAGAGTCCAGTCACAATCCCTGTCCCAGTGACCTTTGCTGCCAGTGAATTACACAAGCATTGAGAAACTATTTTTCCCTTTGTAGCACAGGCACGTGACTTTCATCCCCAACATTCACAGTGAAAGAGATGATCCAGAGCAGCGTCTCTCTGCCGTCATTTTACAGGCTTTTTTTCCGAGAAGTTGTGAGAGAGACGAGGAAAAGCTAAGATCTGTTCCAGAGTTCATATCCTTACATACCCTCATCACTTCCTTCTAGTCTTCAGACTCATAGAAGAATAACCTACTTTCACCATGTCTTCCCATACTGTGTTTTTCAGAGGAAGCAAGTAGTTGGATCAAGGGAACAGGCCAAGCACTACATACAAAAATGTAAATGCTGAATATAGAACAGAGTGTCCTCTGTAGTAGGAGCACAATAGGGCTAAAAGAGAAAGCACATGTAATCCCAGAGATAGGATTTAGGGCACAAATGCTGAATATGGGATTTATTTTAGCCTTGCCCTGTTCTTGCCATTTAATAAATAACTTCCTGTTTTTTCAAAAGAAAAAACCAAGGAGGAATTTTGATGGTCATTGAAAACCAAACTAAAAAAACCCAATAGAGGGAATTTTGCCATGCAGAATTGTGTTTGCTGTGGGTACTGTCCGGCCACTGCTGGCTTACGCACGATCCTTTCCTTTGCTAACCACCCTTTTCGGATTTATGCAGATGTAATGGCTTTGGGCATTTTGGTGATGTGCATGTAAATAAAGAGTCTCCTTTCTCTCTAAAATGCATGCAGTGTTGTAATACCAAGGACAGGACTTGGCAAAGCTTTGATGGGATAGACTCTAAAAGCATGGACATTTCTGCTACACACAATCCTTGTGGTGAAATCATGTCCTGGAGACCTTGAAGTGTTGAGGTATATGGGTTCTGTGCTGCAGATCCACATGGCACACCATAGCTTCAAAGCAGCCAACAATCCATGCGCTCCTTGCCAAATTGGTGTTGTGTCTGGTAGCAGGAGCTAACATATGTGAGAATATTGAAGGAACTAGACATACTTCAAAGGTATAAAATGTGAAGGGCTGATGTGAGCTAGGAACACTTCCATTCTAATCCTGGCCACTTCATTGACCTGTCCAATAGCCTTGAGCAAATTAATTAAACTTAGGTGTGGAAAGTTAGTCTCTAATTATGAGTGTCCCAGCTGTTAGGTACCCACATGGGAACACTTGGAAGGAGTTGGTGCCTGGCAACTCTGAAAAATAGGCCCTTATCTTATACTGGGCACCCAAAATTAAAGAACATTCTGCCTTTCTGTCCTCATCTGCATCTGGCACGGACACTGCTCATCCCTGGGCTTTAGGAAGAATTAGGTGATGTTTGGATGGTCCTTTGTCTTATCTGAGCACATGGAGGAAGGTGGGGAGGAGACCAAGGATGGAAGGAAGTGCTTTTGGGAAACAGATTTTTTTTACTTTTGGTTTCCAATAACTGGTTACAGCCACCAATCCTCTTTTAAAGTCAGGGGAAACCAGACTGTAGAAGCTGTTGTGAGAAATAGTCACACTATAAGGGACTGCTTAAGCCTAAATTTTACTTGCCAGCACATGCCAACCTTAGGCAGAGCCATTACAGTCAAGACAGCACTCTGAACTACAGCTACCCACACCCAGAGGCACTAGTTGATTTAATTTTCTTTTAAATCTCATGGCTCTTGCAGAATTTATTTCTGCTGAATTCACTAAAAGGGAGAGAGAGAGAGTTTGTTGTCTCTAGCCACCTGTGTGGAACTTAGATTGAAACAAATGGATATTTGGAGACCAGATAAGAAGGTGGGGGATGAAAAGCCTGCTCTAATGTATTTGTGTTGTGTGAGGAGGCCATTCTTCTCTCCACCTGTGTTGGTTGTGACACTTAATGCCTTAGTGGATGGAGTGAACAGATGTGTCTGGACTGTTTCAGCAGTAAGGCAGGTGCATTAGGCTAGAGTTACCCAGAATGCTTGCAAGTAGCCCAGCCTCTCAGTGACATAACAGCTGTGTACTCAGAGGAGATTGGTTATAGTCATGCACTACAGGCTGATTCAAAATTTAGAAGGCACTTTTTATTTATCCTGGTTTAGATTAAATTCTGAATTGCCATACATTAAAAACCAGAAGCTGTTCACTACCTTGAGTTGAAAAGCCAGGCTATGTAGCTGAGATTATAAACAGACCCACACCATTTGTAGACTGAGCTCAACACACACTGATCAGAACCACACAAAATAAATATCCGTAAGATGCATGTAATCAAGCCACATGACAGTATATATATTTTCTGTTTCTGCAAGAATGATGCTGGGTAAGATGCTTCAATAGGAACTAAATTGTGTCTGCTACAAAAACCCACCCTCTGTCGGTCTGTAGGATGTAAATGTCAAAGCTGTCTAGGGGACCTGGTTGCCTTCTCCCAGGTTTTTGATAGGAATTAGATATCCAAAGCCTTTTGACCAGCCTCGTTGTAATTATTTCATGCTGTTTTCAAATATCTAATTGTTGCCTGGTCAGGATTCTGCATGTTGATTCCTGGTTATATATGTTAATGTTTCCAGACACCTCTGCCTTTTTCTAAAAAACATGTTTCCCACAACAGCACTATGTTAGCGTCTCATTCATGCTATAGAGAAGAACGCTAAGAACTCCGTTCTCAAATGCAGTATGTGTGAGCATAGAGTTGTGGTGGTATTGTGCCTTCTTGAAGAACAAGTGGTCCCTATCCACTGATATGGTGTTGGCTGATTTTTGCTTAAGGATGATTCATTATGCTGGTTTAGCCATGCCCAGTCCAATGAACAGTAAAGTTTATTTTACTCCCAACCCCATTTAAGTTGGAAATTAGTGTCAGGCACTGGTTAAAATAGCGGGCATCTGAGTCTGGTACACTGGCATAGGTTGCCCAAAAAGTGGGTAACTGCTGCTGTGCGAGCTGGTGCAGTAGACAGAAATGATAAGGAAAGAGAGGTTTACAAAGCACTGAAGAGTTAGATTATGTTAGGAAGGAAGCTAATTATTTTAGATATGAAGGAAGCAGCAGCAGCATTTTTGCTCCCTTACAGGTCTGATGCCAAAGCCAGCTTTGAACACAACAAAAACGCAGGGTGTCCATGTAATTCCAGACCATTCTTGGCTGCATCAAACTTTTGCATCAATCCAAACCATAGACACATGTTACCAGTGACAGTCTGTCCCATCAATGTTTTGCCAAGGGTTTTGCCTTAATAAAATAGAGTGGTATGATGAATTGTTTGGGAATTAAGCGAACTGCTCTCCACCTAACCTTCATTTCCAGATCCTGTACCAGTCAGATCAGTTGCTGATAAAGTAGACTCTGTGCCAATACAGGAAAAGCCAGTGCAGGACATCACTCAAAGTGAGAAACCAGCAATGGAGGAGAAAAGACGAGTTGTTAGCGGCCCTCGGTATGTGGCCGATGCCTCTGTGGATGATATAGGCATTCCTCTAAGGGTAAGATAACAACACACTGACTTATAGGCACATGGTCAAAATGAAAATTGGGGGTGCAGATTCTGTCTTCCTTTAGACCTATGCAACTTTTGTTTAAACCAAGGAGAATGGATCTGATTGAAAAGAGAATATTGAGGAGAGAATATTGTCCCCAGTGTATTTTACACTTATTGTCTTCCCTGTGTTTCTGATGAACTCTTCAGGTGCTGTGTGTAAAATAATTTTCAAAACCTCATTTCAGGTTGTGCCATCTGTAGGATTAGGCTGGTCATCTTCACTCTCTTACAATGGGATAGTTCTGTGTTTGCAAAGCTTGGACCCCAGACACTGTAAAGGACCATGCGAATGCTAGATTTATTGGTAGAGCCAAATTTTCCTAGGCCCCAAAATGATTGTAATCGGAATAAAAGAAATCTGGAAATGTTTATATCCCTCTTGGGGATATCAGCTCAGGAAGGGATAGGCACCCAAAATTCTTCCCCCAAAATTTGGGGCACATAGCAGATAGCAGGACCAGGCGTCAGAATTTGGGACTCATCTGTCCTGATGAGCTACTGTACAAAATCCACCTTTCAAGGACACTCATCTACTGTGAAGAAACAGAAAGAAGAAATAGAAACAATGCAAATAGCTTTATTCAGTATAAGAGGACTACAAGGCTGAGAGAAGTTACTCATCTGCTGAAGCATTTTCAGTATTGTGCCATCTGATTTTATTGCGACCTTGCAGATGGTTCTAGTCAATAAAAAATAAATAAAATACAGTGAAGGGTGCTAAATGGTTTGTATTGTTAAAAGAATCCTAAACCACTGAGAACCTGGTTTAGCTCATACCTGTGTTTTACTGAAATCTGTGTTTTTTGTTTCTTTTACTTTAGAACACAGACAGATCAAAGGATTGGTACAAGACAATGTTCAAACAGATTCACAAGCTAACAAAAGGTACTGTAAAATGCATATTTTAAACAAACCACCTTGAGAACATGTGTTTTACCTATGTGGAGCATTGTATTTAGATATTGAATAGAAGCTTTTCATTTTTAACCAGTGTTTGTTTTGAAGTGTAGAAACCAGCTAGGACATTTTAAAATGATAGAATCAAAGGAGAGAAACTAATAAACCCAGGTCTGACTCACACTAAAAGGTGAATTGAAATACTTTGTTGAAAGCACTAACAAAGAAGAGTACTGTTTGAGATCCCGAACCATTAGCTGGTTGGTTGTATCGGCTGTGGCTGGTGTCTACATGAATGTATTTCAAAAACATTGCCGTGGTTATACTGTAACAAATGAGGATCAGTCATTCATAGCAGTGAGATGGAGTGCAGGTGTGGGCCTGAAGAACGGAGATTTGCATTTGACTCTTCTCAGAGCTTGGTCCTAGGAAGCAAAACTAATTTAATTATTTTTATTCCTTCTATACGAAATATTCTTGGGGATTAAATTGTCCAGAATTTCCAAATAAACATATTTGAAAACAAAATAATTGGAGATTTAAAAATGTTCCTACTAAGAGCAGAATTCAGGTTGCTTTGGTTCCCTTGTTACTGTTTAAAGCCATCATTAGTGTCTAAAGCAGTGGTTCTCAACTAGGGTGCCACAAGACCTCATCAAGAGTGCTGTGATGCAAGTGCCACAGCAGTGGTGGCCAAGTAAAACTGGCATGAGCACAGACCTGCAGCACAGGCGCACAATCATTCTGCATTAGGTTCTTTGATGACTTTAAAGTAGCAGAAGAACTGGCTTATGCTGTAGCTTTTCCTGATCTGCACCCCCACCCCCCAGCCCTACCTCCTCTATGCTCCTCCTAGAAACAGAAGTGCTCTGGACATTTTCACCTGCTATATCCCTGTTTCTGGGGGAGACCATGCAGGGTTGGACTGGAAAGCATGGCAGTATGAGCTGGTTCTCCTGCCTGAGGCAGGAGAACGCATACATGCCATAGCCCTTCCCGGGCTGGGTTTACCTGGCTGCAGTGGCAGCAACACCCAGTTGAGAACTACTGAGGTAAGTTCAGTACAACGGTGGTTCTCAGCCAGGGGTGATGCCACATTCAGAAAAGTTGTGAAGGGTGCTGTGACTCTGGAAAGGCTGAGAACCACTGGAGCAGGCAGAGATTCCTGTTGCTAATTTAATTGCTATCAGATGATGCTAGGAAACAGATCCCTGTCCTCCTAGTTTTTGAAACTGTATTGACAAAAGAAAGGTATTTGTAAAAATAGAACTATTTATATGTAGAATAATTTGGAGCCTTCTCTGAGGCTGACTGAAGTTGAGGGCAAGATTTCCCTAGACTTCAGTGGTCTCTGGATCAGAACGTTGATTTTTTTTCAGTATTCTTGAAACCTTTCAAAAGCAACATTTATGGTGAGCATTGGTAGACTGGTTAACAGTGCATCACCAATGAATCCATTACTTTTGCGTGCCCCACAACATGATACTTTCCAATTCTGTCTTTATTGTGAGAAATGACTTCAGATGTATTAACAATCCAGGCTTGCAGAAGGCTTGACATTCAAATGAGTTCCAAGCTGTACTTACTAAATGAAACATGATGCCTACAAAATAACATACGGTGATTTGCATTTGCTGATTCAGATGCTACTATGACAAGTTGACTAGTGCATATGTAACCACTGTCTTCTGCTCGGTTGATTGAGAATTACTCGGTGTGTCAGCCTCTGTACTGCTAACATATTTTCCACTGCAAATGGTAGAGGTGCATGCTTACAGAGCAGCAGAAGGAGTTCCCACTGACTCCATCACCTTCCAAGTGGCTGGGGTGCATAGCATCGTGATAACCATTGATATGCCCACAGATTTGTCATGGTCTAACACAGACATGAGAAGGATCTTCGGCAGCTTGCATGCATTCTGATCTCACCCTTTTTACCCTTTAAATCTTTCCTCTCTGTTCTTTTTCCAAAACGTGTTCCTTCTGCTTAGACACTCCTGAAGAAAACCCTTATTGCCCTACCTACAAATTTCCTGAACTTCCTGAATTCCAGCAAAAACCCGAAGGTACCACAAGTTTAGCCAGAGTATCTGTTGTCTTGTGTTTGAATTAACTGTACTATAGCTCCTTAATAGTAATTAGATCCAGATACTAAATTACCATGATCCATTTATTACTTTTGGCAGAAATTCATTTGCACCTAGTGTGCCTTATTATGTGATATATAAAATGACCTAATCCTTCCTAACCCGTTATTAATATGTTGAAAGTATGATGCCATTGTGCTCTGATATCATTAAAGTAGACAATAAAAGCTTACGGTGATAGGAAATTCGAGAACAGCATTGTACCTCCACTTCATGGTGGATAGTCTCAAAACCCACTGCTTTTCTCTGCTGCAGAAGACAATCCTTATTCTCCTACATACCAGTTTCCTGCGTCTACTCCTAGCCCTAAATCTGAAGGTAATGGTAAAGGATAATATACCTTTTTTCTGCATAACCTCTGCCTTGTACATTGATTTTCTCCCTCAAGTTTTTCTAGTCGCTGAGTGTTATGCTGCCTCCTAATAATTTGCTGCCCTCTAAGCATTGCCTTGATCGTGTGATGCCTTTTTTGGCTTTGCAGTGTTCTTCCAGCTTTCTTACTAGCCTCTGACTAATGCTACAATACTTGGTTTCTTGGGATTTGCTTGGTTCATGTGCTTAGTGAACTGTACCTAGCCATGCGTGTGCAGTGGTTACTTAACTTGCCTATAATGCTGACTTACATGTAAAAACTTGCCTATAATGCTGACTTGTATGTAAAAATACAAAAAAATGTATTTTGAAAGTTGGAATTTAACTGCATTTTTATTTCCCTTAGGATCAACAAATACCTTTAATCTTCACTCACATTTTTAATATTAACACAAGATAAGGGCCTGACCCTAAAGACTTTTGAAATTTGTTGGAAGGACACCCACTGACTTCACTGGGGCTTTGAATCTGGCTTTTAATGTCTTTTTCTTTAAATTTATGTACAAGTCTTGTTTTGTTACTATGGTCTGGGCTAGCATTCGGTGCAATGGTGTTTCTAGGCATGGAAAGAATTTGATTTGTTATCAGCACACATTCTTAAACAAACCAAAGTATCCCTCTGTCTATCATTTTAGCCTCTCCGTGGGTGAATGCTCAATGGATATCTTTGATATTCAAGCCCAAACCAGAATCCTTTGCACTCATGCTTCAAAAGTGTTGCAGTAGCCAGTGTGAGAAATTCTCCTATAGATGTGTGTATATGCCTATATATATATATATATACACACACACACACACACACACACATACATGTCTGTTTACAGGTGTGTGCATGTACATGTGTGCACATGCACACGCACATGCACACAAACAGGAAGTGGTAGCAGCAGCGATCCTTCATTGTCAAAGATGATCACTCCCCCGGGTCATGTACCACTCCCTTTAATTGACCCATACCACTACCTTTACTGACTTGTAGACAAAGGGCTTTTACAAAGATGATTTTATTTATTTATTTTTTTGTAATGAAGTTTGTAGACCCATTTTACTCTTGGCAGAGCTGATGTAGTTTGTAGTAGACACTGATGATAATAAATTAGGAGGTTGTATTCCCATGAATGGCTCCTCTTCACTTATAGATGCACTGATTTAATCTAATATGTTCTCTCATTTTTTAGCTAGTTGCAATATTATTGGGTGAAACACCTGTCATTTTCTTAATACCATACAAATTGGGTTTGGCTTTCTATGATCAGATTAGCTTCTTTCTTCATGAGAATACAAAATGGTGACAGGAACTGGGTTCATTTTGTTAGGTCTAGACTATGCAGGGCTTGTCCGTGCTACCTCTGAATCAACTCCAGACTGCCACCAAGAAATAGTCTGTCCACTCCTTCTGACTTAGTCTGTAGCAAAGCCTAGGGCTGCTCTCAGCTGGCTGTGCTGCCTAATTTCTGAGGCTTGGCATGAACTGAGCAGGTAAGGTCCTACAAGGAGAGATTGAGGGACCTGGATCTCTTCAGCCTGTGTAAGAGAAGGCTGAGAGGTGATCTAGTGGCCATCTACGAATTCGACCGGGAGGGAGCAGCAAGGGATAGGAGATGCTCTGTTTACCAGGGTGCCCCTTGGAGTAACTAAAAACAATGGCCAAAAACTGACAAAGAGCAGATTTAGACTAGACATCAGAAGAATTTCTTCATGGTAAGGGTTACCAGAATCTGGAATGGGCTTCCAAGGGAGGTGGTGCTCTCCCCTACCTTGGGGGTCTTTAAGAGAAGCCTGGACATATGCCTGGCTGGGGTCATCTGGCCCCAGCACTCTTGCCTGCCCAGGGCGATGATCTACTGAAGTCCCTTCTGACCCCCAAAATCTATGAATCAGGAGCAGGTAAGCATGGCATATTCCTAGGCTGTGACCATTGAGAGAGCATGGGAGGCAGTATGGACATAGCTTCAGAGCTTTGCTTTCATGCTTAGAAAACCTTGCAAATAATGTATTCAGCCATGAAGGGTTTGTATGGAGATGGGGTGAAACTTCTGAACTAAAATCCAGATTTCAAACAATCTAAAGCGAAGGATTTGATTTAGACCAGTAGTTTTCAACCTTTTTTAAACTCAAGGCACCCATATTAGACTCATGGCACCCCTTGGAAAAAGTCAGCTTTTCTGAGCTTTCACTCATTTTTTGATTATGGAAAAATAATAGAACTTTTTTTTCTGGCAAAGAACTCAGAAAGACCATAGTTAAGTGCTTTTGAAACAATGGATTCCTGTTTGAAATCTCTGGGTTTGTCATGTGAATCTTGTGAAGGTGTTTGCACACCTAACAGTGCTAAGATTGTTGAGCACCTTGTGGCTCCTTTAAAAAGTTCTTATGGCACCCTGGTTAAGAATAATTGATCTAGACTATTGCAAAGATAGGAGCCATTTCCAATATTCAGGTCTGGACTCAGATCTTGTATACCTGCAAAGCGTGAGGATGTTTGGATCCAAAGTTTTGGGCCACCTATCCCAGAAGAATTTTAACTTCCATAGGCTATATAAGAACTACAAGGAAAAATCTGAAAGGAGTCGCATACAGAAACTGTGAACCAAGGATTCCCACCTCTCGTAACTAGGCCCTGAAGCCGGGGTACAGAGACCTGAATTCTGTTTCCAGATTTTCTATGGACATCCTATGGACACATCTGCTCTGCAGGAATGGGGCATCTTGGCCATTCCTGATTGTGTCTTTCCCCACATGGCTACATGCATGCTGAAAACCTGGGAATAACTGGTAGACACATTCTTGGGTGTCCCATTGTGGTTGCTTTTGAGGCCTCTGCCTCTAATATGCTTACAAGTAGCTGTTGGAGATGACCCTGGAATGCCTCATTGATGGCTTTTTATGCTATGATGTGGACCAGGGCTGCCCAGCTATAAGTGGCTTGAAGCTGTGCCCTATGGCCTGCACCAACAGAAGCCATGTACTGCAGGGACCATGGGCTTCCCAGGCTACATTCCATGTGCATCCATGGGAGCTCCCATTGTCTCCCTGCCCTGGCATTATAAGCATGGGCAGGACAGCATCCTCCTGCTGCACAAGGCACAGCAGCCCACCTCCCCTTCAACTACCTAGTTTCAGATTTCCACACTTCATCATGCCACATGGGTGCTCCAGGCAGCCAGCTCCCCTAGCACTGTGGGTTGGCTATGCAGCCTCCTCATGCCCTGCCCTGCACCCTGGGTTGGGGGCACGCAGCAGAAGCCAGAGGAGAGAGTGAAAACCATGAGACTCCTGCTGCTTCTACCAGAGAGATAAGGGCAGCAGTGGCCAGGACAGAGCCCAGGGGCCACAGGGCTACCAGCTGAACAGCCCTGATATAGAGGTATCCTTGTATGACCTTCAGCAAGTCACCCAACCTCTGTATGCTTCAGTACTTACTAATCTTTGCAAAACACTTGGAAATGACAAGCATGAAAGAAACAATTCCATTAGAACATGTTTACTAGAAACATGCAAAGACAACTAAATGCATTTTTGTATATTTTTTATTATGTGAATTGTTATCTACAATGAATTTTAACATTTTCCTTCATATAAATTGTGAATGTTTTTTATTATTCCATCAGTCTTAAATGAATCCTCAAGAAGCAATTAGCTAATAGGATATTTTTAGATATTTGTTCACTTACATTTTTAGGAACAGCTAATTTTATGAGTTGCCAAATATCATACTAGTTAGAGAAAAGTGCATCTTTTTATGTGGGCATAACAGTCACTTTTCTCAAAAATTTCATTTAGAAATAGGTATGACCTACATTTCTGGTTTCTGTCATTTGGGTTTGAAATATGGAAATTAGTCTGAAGTTTTATCATAACCATTATGCAGACTCGAGAGTATTATAATTACATTGCGGTCACTAACCATCTGTTTCAAACGAAACCTGCCACTGATGCCTTAAGCATGTTGCTCACAGAGAGAATTCAACAAATGAGCTGAAATGTGGAGTTTTCTCTGAGCCTTTTATAAAGGCTTGGCTCAAGTCAGGAATAAGAGGTTCAGGTCAGTTCTGTTGGGAGCCCAAATGGTTTGGTTCCATCAGGGGTGAATGCATCTAGCAGCTTACTGGATATTCTTCCCAAAGAGGGCAGACAGAGAATACCCCACGGAGTCAATCGGCACCATCATATCCATGTGACATTTCTTGAAACATCTTTTTTCCAGTTGTCTTGTCCAAGCTGTATTTCTAGTTGCTGTCATGTTACCTTTCTTTGCAGACCCTCTTAGTTACTTCTTCACATGGACACTGTCAAGCCTCAACACAGAGTTCCATGAACAGAGTTTGTTGCAGTACAGTATCCTACACTACCTCTGTGAGGCTTGTGTATATCTCCAAAACAACTGCAGGACCTTAAGCGTAAATTGTCATCATGAAAGGGAAAGGATGGTGGGGGTAAATGTGCTGAACTAAGCTTTGGGGATGTAGGTTCAGTTCCCAGTTCTGATACTGACTTCCTGTCTACCAAGGGCCATTCGTTTTGGGCTTGTTCCAAAGCCTGTTGAAGATAATGGAAGGGCTTCCATGAGCTTTGAATCAGACTGTATATCCCTCTTTGAAATGTGGATAGTAACAATACCTTTCGTCAACCTTTTAATACCTCTTGTTTATTTAGAATTACAAGCTCATTAGAGCATGCACTTTTTCAGGCTACATGTAATTGTAGCAAGAAACATTTCTGTTGTACCACTCAAGGACTAGTATGTTCACATTAATATTTTTAATGTGGCTTACTATTTAAGAGAGAGAGTGTGGTAGCTCTTCCAGCTCACTTTAAAATTATTTTGTTTTCCAGATGAAGATTCTGATTCATCCTATCCTCATTTTTCGTATTCTGAAGATAGTAAGTAACTTACATTTCATGTTTTGGGTTCAGTCTGCCTGCACGGTCACAAGTATCAACTGCTGTTGTTGTTGCCCCACTACCAAAGTTACTAAGATTTTTATATATGCCTTTTTTGCAGCAAGAACCCAACCCTCAGTGCCTCGGTCTAAAAGTGCTATGGACAGCATTGACACTGAGAAGGTCATTAGGAGATCTGCTACTCTGCCATTGCCAACTCGCACATCGTCGTTGAAATCCAGCCTTGAAAGGTAATCCAAATGAAAAGTCCTTAGGTTGGTGTGGAGGAACCATGGAAGGGTCTGATATAGCGGGGAATGGAGATATAAAGTTTGGAGCTAGATCTGGAGCTGAACTTCCCCAGGGTTCAGGGTGGTTTGGATTTCAGGCTATCCCAGGAGTTGCTCTAATTCAGGGGTGGGTAATTATTTTGGGTGGAGGGCTGCTTACCAATTTTTGGCAAGCCATTGAGGGCCACATGGGTAGCTCTGCCCCTTGACAAATGCCTTGTCCCCTGGTTGCCATCTTGTGACCAGACATCCTGCCCCCTAACCCCTGACCTTTGTCACCAGAAGTCCCTTTCCTTGCCCCCAGAAATACTCCTTTCAGCAAGGGGTTTTGCCAGGGAGCCAGGAGCAAATACATATAAACTTTCTACATTTTTTAGGGGCCCCGCAGGCTGGATAGAATGGCCTGGCAGGCTGCATCTGACCCCGCAGGCCGTATTTTGCTTGCCACTGATCTAAATATCCAGAAGGCTTTGAAACTGTAATTTGTTCCTTCATCTTGCCAACCTATCTGTCTCTGTTGGATCCACCAGTCATACCTTGTTATCATACATGTTGCACCTTCTGTGAGACAAAGGACTCTTTTGGGTACATGTCTGTATAGTGCTTAGCACAGCAGGACCCTGATCCTTGATTTGCAGTTCCTAGCTGCTATACTGTAATATTAATGATTATCCAGAGTTTCTCTTAAGGTTTCAGGTCATGCAGAGTAGAGCTGGATATTCTTTGAAAAATGTACTTCTAGAGCCAGCCAGTCCTTAGAAGTGCAGAGACATATAAAAATGAAGAGGATAGGGCTATACTGTCTAATAGCTGGGACACTAGATGGGAGGAAAACAGGCCTGCATTGCATTTTCTTCTGTACCATTCACCTGTTATGTGACCTCAGGCAAGTCACTTAACATCTTAGGGCTGCTTGCAGATGTTAAAAAAAAGACTCAAAAAACCAAAAAAAACAAAAATGGTGCTTTACTTTACTCCATGTGCTCCTGCACCAAGCCCAGTGTATACACAGAAGAGGCAGTCCCTTAGTTGGACCAACCTTGCCCGATGTTTGTATAGATTGGGTGCTTTACTGGAGCCTTTTTGGCACTTGTATCTAATAGATGATTGAATTAACTTGAGATAAAAGTACCAGAAAGCCCCACTGAAGCGCCTGATCTATACAGATAATGCAGAGCCGGGTTGAAGTAACACGCTGCTTTTTCCTGTAAAGTGCAGATTTGTTTGAGGTTTTTTTGGGGTGTGGTGGGGGGGGGTTATTTTTGTTTGTTTGTTTGTTTTGGTTTTGTTTTTTTTAAGTCTGGAAACAGCCCTTATGTCTTGTCCTATCCTTGTCTGTCTTGTCCAGTTTTTAAGCTCTCTCTGGGTCAAGGGCTGCTTCCTACTATTTGTTTAGTGCAGCCCTGAACACAAGGAGCCCCCAGTTTCAGTTTGAGGTATTGAAGAATCTACCATACTACACACAAATACTAATGACAACATCAATAACATAAAATATTTATGGGGAAGGAGGAATTTAATCCACTTTAGGTCATAGGAATGGTTTTTGGAAGATAGGTCTTGCTGTCTCATCACTTGGAGACCAGCTCATTGTGAAGTTACTGGGAATTGTCTGTTGACTTTAATGGAAATCGTGGCAGGTCCTAGTTAGCATCAGATACAGTATCATTCTTAACTAAGATCACTTAGTTCTTAATTTTTCTCTCCTGATTTTTAAACTCTATCCTTTAAAGCTAATTGCAATAATAATTAATGTTTCTAGAATGCAGAGGGTGAGGGGAAAGAAGAGTAGACATTAAATATTTTTTGCCACAATGAATTCAACCAGTTCTTAAAACCTTCTGTTTCTATCTTCTTTTACTGGCTTGCACATTCTCCTTTAAATGAGCAATTTTATTTTCCAAGAGTGCCAACATAGCAAGCACCTAAGGCAGGGGTGGGCAATTATTTTGGGCAGAGAGCCGTTTACCGAATTTTGGCAAGCCATCAAGGGCTGCAAGAATAGCCCTGCCCCTTGACAGGTGCCTCACTCCCTGGTCACCATCTTGAGATCAGAAGTCCCACCGCCTAACCCCTGACCTTTGCCTCCTGAAA